GCGACGCTACGATGACGCGTGTGTAGCGCGAGCCCGACGTGACGGTGACGGGGCTGGGGCCCTCCTGCGGCTCCAGCGCCGCCTCGTCGTCCGCGAACACGATGGGCAGCCGCATGATGTCCGCCGCGCCCAGCGGGCCCGCGCTCCCGGGCCCCGCGCCCCCAGGCACCGCAACCCCAGGCCCCGCGCCCCCGCCGGCCCCCGCCGACGCGCGCCGCCGCGGGGGCAGGAGGGCGAGGGGAGTGGCGCCGCACCCGCGCGACACCAGCGCGGCGTCTCCGCCCCGCGACACCAGCGTGGCGTCTCCGCCCCGCGACACTAGCGCGGCGTCTCCGCCCCGCTCGCTGCAACATACCCATGTGTTAAACATAAATGCATAAATACATCATTATTATAATAAATGACAATGACCAAATTTGTATGGAGCGTGGTGACTTTTCATTTTTTCGCGGCAATTGATCGGATGTGGAAAAACTGATGCAGAATAACATTACAAACAAAAAAATATATGGGGTCTTATATCAAAATCACAGTCCAAATCGAGTTAAATCTGTTCAAAGATGTGAAAATAGTGCTATATTATCCCCGTGATTTTGTTGATGGTGACCGTACACAACGCATATTTCTTCATTTACTTGTCAGAAATATTTTGTAATAAATGTTTATAAACGATTTCAAGGAATTTATAAAGCTTATTGTGGACTTTTTTACTTATTTTTTTTTTTGTTTATAAGGCCACTGAATCAGAACAGAGTGAACCATTAACTGACCACTGCTGAAGAAAAAGAAAAATTTCGCTTGATTGGCTAGCATGTTCAATTTATATACGTATACGGTTTATGGCCTATGACAGATTTTCATGATCAATTTCCTCTCAGCCAAAAACTCGCAAAATACTTTACTGAGCCCTATCATGAATGCTATGTTTGTCAGCTGCGGCGTCGGTAGCAGATTGAATAGCGCTGATCACTTTAAAAGTCGACGGTTTTCTTTCTTCAAAAGATTATGCTAACTATTAAGTAGATGAGTGTTCCACCAGGAGTCAATGGCAAAAAAAATATATACTTTATTAGATGTTTGGACGGCTACCACTACTCAACCCACCACTGGTACCACAGCTGACGCTCATGAAGCTTCATGACACAAATCCTAGAAGCATCGCACAAGTTATTGACTGAGAGAAAATAGGTAATAAAAATTAGTGCCTGGCAATATGAATATTTTGTGGTCTGATATGGTTTTTCTGTGCCCGGAGTACAGTGGCGCGCTATTTGAAGTTAGAAATTGTGACAAAACTATGAATAATTTGAATAAAAAACCGAAGTAAAATGTTTGACTCCAGCTCCTTTCAACGCTCATAACTCAGTCCAGAATGAGATTTCCATATATAAGCCCATAGACAATTTCGTTTGTAATGTCATTCTAGGTAATATTTTCCATAAATCATCGACTGCCGCCAGAAAAAAGAAAGGCACCAATTTTAATCAATGCCCTTTAGATGCTATTCTTTTTTCATGTAATAATTTTAATTTGAAAAGGTCAATAACGAAAGTTTGATGATATCTCCGGCACAAACGATAGCCAGAATTTTATTTATTTACTAGCTGTTGCCCGCGACTTCGTCCTCGTACAATAATGACTTCAATGTCAATGTCAATTTTTATTTTACAAAAGCGGGCTCGCTTTTGTAAAATAAAAATTGATTCATATATTCGTCGGAGCAGTGTATAACTTACGCCGTTGCGAATCGCTGAGAGATTTTTTTAAAATGATAAATATTGTAACGGTGCCCTACAATACATGTATGAAAATAGAACGTATGTAAGAAAAAATAGTCTCACCTGACGGAGGGCAGAGGTCCGGGCGGGGCGGGCGGGGCGGACAGGGCC